TTAGAGCTGCATCCCTCCCCTGCTGGCTTGACTTCCCTATGTAGTACTTACATATCACCATCTTATATCCACCTACCTTTCATATTATTTCATTCACTGGCTTTCTTCTCTCTCTAGAATCAAAGTTCCATAAGGTCAGGGATTCCCTGCTAAATCCTAGCACCTAGAAAAGTGCTTTCCATGTAGCTGATGCTCAATAAATATTTGAGCATAAAAAAAAAATGAAAGAAGTGGCCTTTTTTCAGCAGGTGTCAAAACCCACACAGGTAGTTAATCTGTGGGAATGGAACCTATTCGTTGTGAAATGGTCATTACAGGTTATGCCTTCCATTTGTCAGTATCCTAGAGAGACCTGGCACAGTCTATCAATCTTTCTCCAAACAAATCAACATTTTTATAAAAATTCTTCTTTCCCAATCCCCACTTCCCTGCTTCTTAGGGCACTGGTAAGGATTTTTCCCATTAAAATGTATTTATTTCACAGGAAATTTTTTTTCCCCCAGATCTGCCTTCCCCCTGTTTCTCTGGCCACAGCTGCAAAATTTAGTATTAGTGCCAGAGGCAACCGATTAGTTAAAAAATACATACTCTGCTCCAGGCTGGCATCCATTTGTATTTCATTATAAGAGGATATTAAAAATGATGCCTTGGACTTTTAACCATGTACAGCACAGCACATCTGTTACCCCTGTTTGTTTTGATAATCTGACTATGAGAGTGAGTATAACAGTTAGTATTATTCCCATTGACACAGGCCTAGAAAAGTTGATAATACAGAGGTGCCTGGCATGTTTTCCTACTTTTATTTTTATTTTTTACGTATTTTTTGGAACAAGGTCTCACACTGTCACCCAAGCTGGAGTACAGTGACATGATCCTGGCTCACTGCACGCTGGACCTCCTGGACTCAAGCAATTCTCCTGCCTCAGCCTCCCATGTAGCTGGAACTACAGGTGCACAGCACCACGCCCAACTAATTTTTATATTTTTTTGTAGAGACAGGGCTTCATCATGTTGCCCAGGTTGGTCTTGAACTCCTGAGCTCCAGTGATCTGCCCTTCTAGGCCTCCCAAATTGCTGGAACTACAGAAGTGAGCCACCAAGCCCAGCCCCTATATTTATTTTTAAAATTGTATTTTGTTGCAAGTCATCATCACCTCAAACTCCTAAAAAGAAAAGGCTCTTATGTCATGCAGTTAACATTTTTGAGAATAGCCTCCATTTCAGACATCAAACTGTTGGGATGCTGAGCATATGTACTGAATACCCTGTCATTCATGTTCCTTCTTGCTAAAGGTGAGTTCTAAGAAACTGACAAGATAAACAGAATCCAACCAACCGGTATTTTTAATTTCTAAAAAGCACCTGATTTACAAAACTATACTTTTGCCCTATATTTTTATCTAGTGGTAATCCAATTTTAGGCCCTTGAGCTGGTTTCAGAAGAAAAGTGCTACCTTCTCTTAAGACACCAGGATGTTATCCCTACTAGATAGCTTAGTTTTAGAGAACTCCTCTAAAATATCTTTACCTGAAGGCCCACACTGGAACAAACTCCCTCCCATGTCTTCTTATGGCCCCTAAACAGACCTTTATCCCAGTCTCATCCTGTGTAAACTGCCTGTTTACCTGTCCCTCAATAAATCCCCATTTCTTGAGAGCAAGGATCCATCATCTCTGAATCCCATGCACTAACACAGCCATACCACATGATAGGTGTTTGATAGGTACAGGCTGAATAAATGAATGAAAAAAGGGAGTCATCAAAGATGAACATTAAGGGAGAAGCTACTTCATTCCTGATATTTATTTCCTTCCATTCACTCTTAGCTTTTCTCCACCCCCTGCCACCTATTACCCTCTAGATTATAGAGCTTCAAAGGAAAAATTGGACATGACTAGTCTCCCCCTCCCCACCCAGTCTCTCTTTGGGGACAGGTGCTTGTGGGAAGCACACTGCCACCTGCACCTTCATGCCACCAGCTTTATAGGGTAGGGCGGATCATATGTAGGAAGCGCTGCTGTGGTCTAGCCCTGCCAGTGACCAGGTTGCTATGACAGTGTAACTGGGGGTTATACGGTGTTAGGAAGTGCTCTTGCCCACAGTTATAAACTAAATTCTCTAGTAACAAAGGTGATATTTTGTTTTCTATCTGATTTTTAAAAAATATTTTATTTATCAATTGGTTTAGAAATCAGGGCATGGGAGAGGACTTTTTAAAATGAGGGCCCTTAAATCCCCTCCGAATAACGATGAGTGAGCTTTAAGATTTTTAATTTCAAAGGCTTCTCCTGCTCTATACATTGCAGCTCTCCCAGCCTATCACCATCTTGTTAAGAAAGCAGAAAATGGTAAGCAATAGTATGCTGTGAAACTACATATTACTATGAATTCATCATACCCTGGAAAAGCCTTTAGCTGAACAAGGGCTAAAATGGATGATGATAAAAACCTTTCTGTGCCATCAGTAGAACATTCTGTTTTATCTATATTTCTAGAATCCCATGATTCAAAAAGCAAGTATCAAACTATCTGTATCAAGCTTTGGAACTCTTTCTCGTGATATTCTCTCACCCCCACCTCACCCCAAATCTTAAGTGCCACTCTAACATGCAACCATATGAATTAGATCTGCCAAGACTCCCTCTGCCCTTCTTCCCTTAGTGCTGACAAGATGCTTGAGGCTGGGCACAAGAGGATGATAGGTATCATCGTATATACAGCACTTGGTTCAGTCCATGGAGTGGAGTCCAGAACTATGGAGCCAACTTCATCAATTCAGTTTAGGGGCTGAGTGGCTTCTCCATGTCCTACAGATATATTTTACCATTACTAGAGCCTGGAGTCTTCTACTATGTAAGAGTTTGGGCAGATAATAAAATACTCCAATGATCAGAACTGATCTCACACAAATGTGCCAGGTAGATTATCATGCACATTTTATAGAAGAGAAATTGATTCAAAGAGAAACACAGCTAGTAATTTGAAAGGTGGGCGTTTGTGCCCCCATCCTTCAGACTTAACCGCCACACACTGCTATTTCCACTCTTCTGCTGTGCCTCAGCAGAGCCTCATCCCCGTTACTGAAAAACTCATTCTGACGCAGGAGTCATTGAGAGTGGAGGTGAGGATCTGTTTCCACGGAATTGATGGTATATCATATGCATCTTTTAAAAGACTGTGGTGATGTCCTGCCCAGACAGGGAGAAGACGAGCAGAAAATGGTATGCAGAGGCAAGCACAGGGCACAACAGGCATGTGGCTATCAACCTGTAAGACAACGTCCTCATGGAATAGCTGTAAGTAGAGTCTGGGGCAGTTATTTCTCTGACTCGTTTAAAGATGTTACATAAATACACAACAAGTAGGGCACTTACTCTGTATTTATGTGACATCTTTGAACAAGCCTCAAGCCTCTGAGAAGCAGAGGCTTTCCTTCTAAGCTGAGCGTCTAAGATCCACATGCCAAGCCCAGCTTGCTTCTGTGTCATTGGGCACTCGGGGTTTTCTCCTTTGTTGACAAGTGTTGACTCGCTTCTCTTACCAGGAGAAGTAGGTCTGCCCTAGTTTGCCCCTGACCTTCAATCTTTTTGCTATTGATACAGAATCCATGCACAGTGCTGCCCACTTCTGCATATATTATCCAAATGCATAAACACTAGATAACCCAAAGCTCACTCTCTGATATGTGTCCATGAGGGCCTCCAGCCATTTTCGGTTCAGTGTCCCCAGAATCAAATTCTATGAACATGGGATAAACAGGGACTCATTTTTCCTCTTTGTCTCTTTCCCTCCAGTATTCACTATCATTAGTATTCCAATACTGAAGGTCAGGAAGCTGAGAGGCCCAGAATCTTCCTTCACTGTACTCATCTAGAGGACTGCCCAATCCTGATGCTTATGTCTACAAAACACTCCTCCCCATGTCTTGTTCCATCCTGCACCCATTACTGTGGTTCAAGTTCTTGGCCTTAATGCTCCTTTCCTACTCTGCTCTTACAACCTTTCCTCTGTGGATTCCTTTCCTCCTGTCTCACTTCTTTTAAACCCCCCCGAAGGCTTTCCTTAGGGCCACACTACCACAGTTCTCTGACACTTTGCTGCCTCTTTACAGCTTTAGGAAGGTGCTCATCATACCATTTATCAAGGCTAGGGCATTCATCCCCTGGGAACTCCAGCCATTGCTCTTTTTGTCATTATTCCAGGCACAAATAAAAGCCACATTTGTGCATTCAAACTATTTCTATCCCCTTGTCATCTCTAAAACATCGGAAAACATTTGGAGAATTGTCCTCTCTCTAGTTCAAGTAATCATTCCCATCATCTAAAGAGGTTGTGAAATCTTGTATTCTTTGATTAAATGTTCTCAGACTGTTCAGAGAAGAGCCAAGAGTTCTCTCCTCTTTCCATCCTAGTCTACCCTCTACCTCCATCCCCAGTCGCCATCCCAATCCCTGCCAAATGTCACCATGCAACTGCCAGGGCTACTGGCGCTTAGCTTCTGCCAGGCTCTTACTCTTAGTGAAGGGTCAATGTACACACCTTTGATCTGGACAATTTTTTCCTATTTGATGTATGAGCTATATAACTTTCAAGTGCATTTCTCTTGGACTGCAAGTTCCTGGAAGGCAGCGCTGTCCATAAGAACGAGGAACTTTTTCTAAGCAGAATCCACGCAAGTAGCTGTTGCTTGGTGATGGGGATAGCATTTGAAGTCCCTCAAGTAATATACAAAATGTAATAGCTTGTAACTTGATTTCAGTCCTAGGTATGTAGCTACACCATCTCACCTCACCTAACACCCAGTGTTTTCCTTATCTGGTGGAGTACCCGAGAGTCATGTTCACTTTGATTTTCAGTCTGGCAAATTCATGCTACAACATCACTAGGGATCTGTCCCTCTTTCTAGAGCCTCTACAGTAAGGGACTGAGCCTAAGTGTACATTCCAGTACATACAGCGTTATAAGCTGACCGGCGCCTTGTTGCAGCCATACTTACTTGGTGACGTGGGGGAGGCTGCACCTCCTTCTGTTGATGTGGTCGGAGGCTTTGTGTCTGGCACCGGCAGAGGCACGGGCCTGGCCATCGGTGGTGGTGGCGGCGGCGGCAACATTGGGGTGGGAAGGAATGGGTTGTGCACCTTGCCTTGGCTGCTCCCATTGGGCTGTGAGCATGGGGATAGAAAACACACATACAAGAAAAAGAAGAAAGAGACAGCAACCATTAGCTGCTTCTGAAAACAAAACAGTCAGCAGGCACCTTTAATGTCAATACTAAGTATCTAGCTGCTTGAATCCTTCTATAAGTCCATATGCAAACATCCTCTGTTGGGTTCTGTTTTTGAGGCATTTCACAAAAGTACTCTTAGCCACAGTGCCCAATGCATCCTTAGCCACAGGTACCCAGTGCATCCTGAACTTATCTCTTGAACTAAATTGTCCTTCTTTGCATCTGGTTTTATAAAATCACCCACCAATCATCATTCTGGATTTGTCACCTGAGTAACCAACTTTTGCTTGGCATGTTTTGTGTTTTTCTGCATTAACTGCTTCCTTCATTATCATTCTCATGATTATTAAATATTTAAGTGTTTTATGGATTGTGGTATATTCCACTTGTTTCTTTACACAGATATGATAAAGTTTCCTAAATATGCACTTGAGATAAAAAGTAATATTTTATTTTCACTCTTCAAAGTTGATATTATATAACATTTAATAAATGTGTTAAGTGAACATAGAAAATTTTGTTCACATATTGTATAACATCAGGCACAGAAACTTTAGAATTCAGCTGTCAGAAGTCTGCTAGGGAAAAATATCACTTCTAATTTTGATTTAAATTATATAAGCATATGCCATAAGAGTCATATTTATTTTGCTGCCTGATGTTAAAACAACCAAATAACAGCTCTTTAACAAAAAATTCCCCTCTAAAGAGAGCAATAAAAACCATTATATTTTCAATTTTTTCAAAATCATTTTATGAAGAGACCTGCCTTAAGCCCTATAAAGTTTTGATCAAAATGCAAAACTGGGCATCTGACAGTTATATAGGGTGTCAGGACTAGTAAAAGTGTTTAAAAATTTGGATGTCAGATGCTTAAAGCTGGTGATCAGCTCAGTTTTTTCACTGTTTCCCAAGTGGCCTCCATTCAACCAACAACAGCAGTTCATATTTACTGCCCAATCAAAATTCAGTTGAAGGAGATCCTGCTGTCCCAGGCTTTTACATTTAAGCTTAATAATTTCGCAGAGGCAGTCTCACTCCCCCATCAACATTTACTCATATATTTCGTATTGCTCCTCAAAGACTACCTCGTCTGACGATCAGAACGCTGTGTTTTCTCGCCGGCAACCTTGCCTTTGCATTATTTCTGAGTGGGCTGAGAGTCCATAAGTGAATGCTTAAGAATAAGCCAAGCAAATGAATATACAAGCAAAAAGAAAAGAGGCACCATATTGATTTGTTGTCTAGACAGAAATGTATCTGCTAACACATCACCAGACATTAGCCAAAGCTGCCTGTTCTGGCTCAGATTTGCAGAATCAGGTATTTCTGCAAGTGAAAAAAATCAGTGGCAGGACAGTGTGACATACTATCCTAAATTAGGCAGTAATAATTTGGGCTAATCTGTGACTTCATGCACAGTTATTAGGAGAAAAGGAAAATCAACTTTGGCTTTATGCTGGTCATTGTTTATTATTATTGGCCTTGGGATACAGCTCTCCACTGTAAACATCTAAGCCTATATCTGAAATAAAATTTGTGATTTTTAAAAATCACTTTTACATTTGGAATGCCATTTCTAATTGTGATTATTTGGTTTATTTGAGGAAAAATGAAAACATTCATGTGAAGCTATTGAACACTGTTTAGCTTTACACCCAGATAAGTGGGAAGATAATGACTTGCAGAAATAACAAACCACAATAAACTGTACTCTCAGTATCTTGAGTTCAAGTACTGGTCAACTTGATCTAAAGTGTTAGAAGACTGTATTTTTAAAAAATATCGACTTAGTTGATCTGAAACATCTGTCCCCTTCATCTCCCTACCTCTTTCTACCACCCCAAATCACTATTTAAAACTATTCGGTCTTTCTATTTTGTTAACTGTATGAGCCCTGGGGTTAGAATGCATGGGGTGGAATGATCAGCTCACAGAACTTAGAAGGTTATATAGTTCACCCTTGGGCTGATTTATATCCATAAACTTGACAGTTGCAAACTTAACACAAACACTGTTTTTAAACCCTGACTAATCACTCTTAGAGCAAGTTAACTTTCCCACAATCTAGAATAAATATGACATTTGCCTGCAGTCAGTCAGTACAACATGAGAGAGTACAATGTCACATGATCATCAGATCTTCCCTTGTTATTTTTATATTCGGCTAACATTTCTAAAGAAATGGAAAAAAAAAGAGGTTTCCTTACATTGAGGAACCCCACCTGTCCAGCCTGCTGACCAGCATCAGGGCAGACAAGTTGGACAAATTCTTTCAGCGTCTCCTGAGGGTGATAGCGGATGGCTGGGTGTGAGAAGTAAGGCCCAGGCTGCTGGATAATGGGTGATGTCGGGAAATGAAGAGTCGATGGTGTTGCATGAGGACTTGCTGCAGGAAAAGAAAACATCAGGGTTATGAAAAGAAAGACCTGCTTTGTCACAGCTGAACCCGATTCAACTTCCTCCTGTATTTCTCCTCCTGGCCCGAGTCACAGAATTGCTCATGTGACTGAATTGAACACTGGATCGGTCTGACAGATTTTCTTCCTTAAGGCTTTAAGACAAACACGGAGGTTAGATTAGGGTAGAGTTTCAAGCTGTCTTTCTATTTTCAGTGGACATGAGTTATAAAGGCATTAATAATCCTTGGTGAGGCTGAAGATTATTCATTACCTTAAGAGCCTTTTTAATGAAGCAAGCAATAAAAAATGTATTTGGTAGATTAGACCTGACTTAACTGACATTACATATGACAAATTCTAGTTTGCACATATGGATCCCCTTTCATGCCGAGCTATCCATAGACAATAATTCATTGTTAAAGCTCTTATACCCCTTTCAAGGAAATTTCTAGGGACTAATTCAGGATGAAAATTTTTTGAAGTATGTAGTAAATGATCACTTAATGAACCCATGCAATTTGGGTGCCTCACTTTACACGGATGGTTTATGTGGCCTTCAGATGCCATTTCAAATCCAAATTCAGAAATGCATATATGTGAGAGCAGGGGAACCCACAGGGTAAGCAGGCAGTGACCCCTACTAAAATGTTGGCTCTCTGCCCATAAAAACGATAAAAGACTCAGACAACTACTACTCCCTTACATTTGAACCCTGGTAAATTTCATTTGGACAAGAAGATTATGTTAGATTAAAAACCTTATGTGAGGTGCCTAATAACTTTTCTGAGGGAATTTTTGTCCTTGAATGAGAAGGATGATTGATAAAACTGGCTGGAGGATAAGAGCAGCACATGGAAAGGTTGAAGATACTCAAACCAAGTCAAGCCAAGAGAGCAGCTCTTGCTTCTCAATCAGGGTCAGAGAAACCTCTCCCAGATTAGAGGAGATGAGAGTATTTATCTCTCCTTTACTTTTTACAGTTTAAATCTTTAAACTCAAAAAGTCCTTGCAAAGAAAAATCACAGGAACATCCACATTTTGGAAAAAAGACCTTTCTAATGCCAAGAATGACTCATAATACTGAAGAGAATCCCAGTCAGCAGGCCACTACTTCTCCCATATCCCACTTGCATGGCTAAGGGCTGTAAGAAGAATGCACCTGCATTACTTGCTGGGCATGGGTTCTTTGTTCCCTACTGGGATCTCCTTATGACTAGGGCACTTTCTGACTAATGACTGAAATCCTCATACTACAGGGTTCAGAGTGACATCTGAAGTTTTCGAAGAATGGAAATGGGAGATTGGAGTAGAAGTAACTGCCCAATCCGTGTCTTATAGATGGTCTGATGAAACCCTTTACTTCATGAAACGTTTAATCTGCCCAATAGATATTTGCAGGCTCCTACTATGGGCTCAAGAAACAAATCTGAGCCAAAACAGGTGAAATTTTGCCCTCAGTCATACAACCGAGGATGTCTCAAACTTCATCTATTTGAACCAGAATTTTCATTACCTTCTCCTCTCAGGCTGATGCTTCTCCCAGTCTTCTCCATCTTTGTAAATAGCTTTTCCACCCACTGCAACATCCCCAGAACTGAATCTGGCACTCAATAAATATTTGTTGGATGTGCAGCAAATGACTAAATAAACAGAGGTTAATAAGATAACCATACTGTTAAACATAGAATAAAATTTGCCAAAACCAAATCTTGGTTTCTCCACCTGGCCAAGAGCCAGAGAACTTTTAGTAAAATGGGTGAAACTTAGTACTTCCTACAGTGAATGATAAATCTTGGAACTGATCATTGTTGCTGAGTTAAATCCCACAAGCTAAAACGTTAAATGGCTCTGGTCATCTCTTAACTCTGCAAATTATGCTACTGGCTTTAAAGAATTAGAGGAAGTTTTTCATCCAACATGGTACAGTCCTTCTTGCTGATGGCAAAAAACTTTCACTCAATACCCTGCATCTGATGGAATAGTTACTAGTTAAGGACAGAATGTGGTATTTCCCAAACTAGGCTGAGAATATGCTGAGCCTAACAAAACGAACACTCAACTTTTGCAGGATGTCAAACACCAAGGTGGCACTTCTGCTGACATGAGCCCCTGGTAGGCTGACCTTGAAGATAAAGTGCCACTGCCTCAGGTGCTCAATGGAAAGTGATGGGCAATTGTCTGATTATGAAATCATGGTGGCCAACAGAGACTGCTGCCCAAGGAAGAAATTCACTTGAGATCAAACAGAACTGATCTTTAAAGAAACAAGATATAAAAAATAATTCTAAAGGACCTTGTCATCTCCCCATTAACTGTTAATACACATCCGTGCCCTCATTTTGTTGTTGTTGTTAAATACGTAAAAGAAAATAATTAGCAATGTAAATTTAGACCTTAGTCTCTTTATTATATTTTACTAAAAACAATTTATTCATCATTTCTCTGTGGAACAGAGTTTAACACAAACACAAGAACATATGATACTATACGGAATTAATTCTACAATGACTGATTTATAAGAATCAATTAATTCTTAATTAATACCAGGAAATCATTTAGCCTGTAGTTTCAAATTAGGCAGTTGCTGAGTCTGCATTTTAAAGGGTCATCCTTTGCAGCCCTTACTTTCTCATGCTTTGGACTTTCTGGCTCAGTCATCAGTTCACTGTGCAACTGGAGAGAAATCATTCAAGATCCTGAGCCTTCATTTCTTCAAACAGAAAACAGTTACGTTATTGACATCACAAAGCTCTAATAATTATTATTAAGTATACGCTGTTTCTCTGGATAACCTGCATTCATCTTCTACCAGACACACAGAAACCCACTGAAACTCAGAACTGAGATTTCATCAATCCCTAACTTCGTTTTTCTTCTCTCCTATTTCTTGTTTTCTCTCTTTGTTTTGGATATTTTTTATTGTACCTAAGTTTTCATTTAAGTTGTCTAAAGTCATTTTAGAAAGAGCCATGGGGGTTAAATCAACTTAAGGGTAAAATTCATCAAGTATATTTTGAGATGGCCAGATCAGGCTTTATAGAAAAAAATTCCCGTTAAGAATTTGGCATGATGCTAACGGAACGCACAAAAAATGGTATGAGTCCAGATTTTGGATGAAGAAAAACATGTCTTATGGATGTGTGTGTGTGAGTAGTTGACACGATAAAAAATTATCACACATTATGTAAATGCATATTTAGATCCTTTAAAATGTGCATTATTTACTTGAGAGTCAATAAAGGTTTTTCTCAAGTGGTTACAGTTTATTGCAGTGCATCCATCTGTATCCATGTTGATGTTAATACAATTTTGCGTATTAAAAGACACTACGAAATTGGCTGCTTCCGGCATCTAATACTCTTAGTACCCTAGGCCAGGAGCAGCAGAGAGTGTCAGAAACACTTCACTCCGATGGATCTCACTTCTAGTTTAAACTTTAATGAGTAGCCAGACTTGTTTAAAACAACTGCTTGGGCTTTTCACAAAGAATATAAATAAGATGGGAAGGAAGGACATTTGATCAGGTTTCTTTGGCTGCAATGGCACTGCCTACACATCCTGAACAAAGTAGCCACAATGGAAGAAACAGAGAGCCAGACTTTCCCAAAGGGTGTATTACTCAGCTATTTATTACAGAACGATCATATTACTGGACATTTAAAAAAAAAAAAACAGGGCAAACAGGTTGGTTTACTTGTTCATTCCATTCCCCACAAGTCCAGCACCTCCCAGTTCTTGAAAATCCTCTCTCTCTTGGTTTTAGTTTGAGAGAAAAAGTTAAAAATTCAAACAATTGAAAAAAATGTATATACATATGTAACTCAAAAATGCTTCTTCTGTTAAGAGTAGAATTTACTAAGACTGGGAAAGGAGAAGGTCAGGCTCATTATTGTATTATCGGATATGTTGCGAGACTCATAAAATCTAACCAGTGATTCTTGGTTTGACAGTCCACTATGGGGAAGAGGTCTAGTAGGCACATTGAGTACTCTTAAGGGGAGCTAGAACTACTTAGAACATCTAAGGTGGGCCATGTGAAATAAGACTGTATCAGGAAGCAGTGTCCACACAAACTTGGAATCTTGCCTTTTTCTGCTTTTATAAGTCTGAGGGAAGAAAAATAAAGTAATCTCAGTATTTCCCATGGTTTTTCTCAAGCTCAACCTCGAAGAACTCAAATAACCCTCACACATTTTCCCTCAAACCAAAACTTTATGGGTTGAAATATGTTCTTCTGTATAACCCTGACATTGCCTTAATTGCGTTATCCCTTGTCCATGAACCGTTGCAGATTCTCACACACTGGACAGAGTCTTGGATTCTTTTCACGTTAGCTTTTGCTTTCTGGCATCGGCCTTTAAATCCCAGTCTCTCTTGTATGGGAGGCTACAAAGAGAAGCTGTCAAGGGAGCAACACAAACAATAAAATCTAATCCTCCTTCAGGTGCAGTGTGCTCTTAAGGCAGTGTTATATACAGGCTTCTTCCCCCACAAGAGTGAACAATCATCCCTGAGCCCTGGCATCTGCAAAACTTCATCGTCTTAGCGTTAATCAATACAAAGTCAGGGGCAACAGGTGAGACTGCAAACAGTTTTTCTCTGTTAGCACCATTACAAGAAAAACCTTCTCATATGTCTTCAGAAATATGAAGATGAAAGTTACCATGTCCATACAGTAAGGGTGGCATTAAAAACGCCTGACTACTCATAATTAGAAGTAAAAATTTGTAATAAGGCAAACCTTCAAATGGAGAAGAAAATTGAAGAAAAAAATCCCGCTTAAAAAAAAAAGCATCTTTCCATAAGGGCAAATTGAACTTAAAAATGACTTAGATTGTCAACTGCTATGTATCTTGCTTCTCCAGAAATTCAAAACCACACCGCACCATTATACCCTACCTAAAGCTGAGATATCTGTCTTAATGGTCCATAGCTCTAATTTATAAATCACGCATGAATCATGCCTGTCATTTATGAAAGCGGAGAA